TGATATGTTAAAATTTTGGGAGTTACCTAATGATGTTTTAGCTTTAATTTAAATTAGGAGAGATGGAACCTTTGATTTTGAAATAAAGCAAATCTTTTTTTTTCTAATTTAATGTTGGATGATAGTTTGATTCTTGAGAGTGTGTATTGGAAACGGGAAGCTATATAAAGTTTTGGGGTGGATTGGTAACAGTGATGGTATTCAAGCTCAAATTAGAAGGTTGATTTTGACTTATTTTTCAATGTGGTAAATTTTGACAGTGTATTCAATTAATTTTTTTTTTTCATAGTTTACTATAGGGGTTCTAATTTTATTTTTGGTTTGTAGAATTTGAACTGGTAAATGTTGTGCAAAGTACCATCAAGGTAATTATAAGTCTTTCCCTATGCTGACCTTTTTATTAGATCGATATGACTAAATTTATGATGCTGAAAAATACATGTATCCTTTGAATTTCATGCAGTGTTCTAACATGAATGAAGATTTTCTATTTTAAGGATTTTATTTCAATAAATTAGTGAATGAAAAATACATCTTAAGACTTTATCTGTATTTAATTACATTCAGGAGAGATGATTCATGGTTTGCTGCACTTGAAAAGTCTTGGATTCATATGACCTGGAGTGATAGGGGTGCTATATCTCTTGAGGTATGCAAACTGTTAAGTTTATTTATCAGTGATAGATGTGATAGGCTTTTATTTATCAGTAATTTTTTGTGTTTTGATAAAACCTAAGTTTGGGAGATGTAATAAATATTCTATTTACTGTTCTGACCAACCTTTTACTAATGTGAGTACACTGCCAAAAAATTTCTCATAGTATGTGATTGTAATTTTTTAATTTAGCCTCCTAATTCTATCTCTGTATTTTATCAGGTAATGCTCTTGGATTATGAACTCAGATACCTCAATGGAACAGCCATAGCAATCTTGATAAATAATTTTCATACCAACTCTGATGCTGAGCCTGCAGGGTACTTATTAGATATATTATGCTCATTTTCTTATCATAGGTCTACAATTTTTTTTTTGTAAGGTAAATTTTATTGATTTATAAATTGCTAATACAGAAGAAGGATGAGGGAAGCCCTTTAATGTCGTAGTGATTTCTCAATATCCTGCATGTTCATCAGATCAGGTTAAATTTGACAATTTAAAATACGACACGGTAAAATAATATAAAAACGATATAAATAAAAGATAAGAAGATAATACAGCATAAAATTTTAGAAAAATCATAAATAGGTTTAATAAAATAAAAAAAATTATATTTTATTTTTTTGTGTCAATATGAATTGTCACACAATTTCATATAAAACATGACTCAAATATAATATTTTATACGATACGTTGACACAAATTGTCAGATCTAGAAAAGGTACCCTTTAATAATTTCTTTACCTACATTCAATGGAACCCTATTTCTACTATCACACTACATAGTTTTGGACCCTGTCCATTCCTGCCTTTACCAGTGCGTCGGCCAAGCCATTTACCTCCTTGGATACATTTTGCACTGATGCATTGCATGTATTCATAAGCTATTCAATTTCATTCAAAACAGACCACAATTCCCAGGGACATGACTCTTTCCTAGAGCACCAATTAGCGACAACCATAGAGTCTGATTCAACTACCAGTTTGTTATTTGTGAACCTGCTAGTACTTACGAATAGATGGAGGGCTGTTTTCACCGCCAACAATTCAGCCATATTTGAATCAAAAACTCCTAGAGGTATGGAAAAAATTCCCAGAACTTTCAAGCTTGAATCTTTTCATAGGTCTACATACGGTTTCAATTGATGTGAAACCTAATTAGAAAGCTTAATGGAAAAGAAAATCGTTCTGTCAAACAAGTTATTAAACTAGATTATGAAGAATGGAATGTCTATTAGGTTCTAACAATCATGCATTAACAACTTCAATGAAACTATTGCGTAAATAAAAAAATTTGCTTCATAAATAACTAGAGAGTATAGTTTTGACCTTTAACAACTAGACTGTTTTTTACGACTACATAAATAATTTTTATGACTTTGTTGCATGAAGCAAGTCAAGTGCTTTGGAAAATATCTGAGCATAAGTTTACTTTGGAGTTGCTTCAAGTATTGGAGATGCTTATGAGTTTGATAATTTTCCCAGTTTTGGTTTAACTCTATTAAAAAACACGTAAGTTTCTCTCAGATTTAGTATTTCATGTGAACTCTCTCTCTTCTCGCTGTTGAAAGAATAGTAATATATTTTGATGACGTACAATATTTCATCTTTGATTTGATTCAAAGGGTAATAGAACCTTTATTACCATTAACCAGAGGGCATAAATGATGGTAATCAAAGTTTATGGTGCATTATCATATGTCAAGTGAATTGGTCCTCCTTAATATGTTGCCAATTGAGTTAAAAGAAATTAAAAAAAAAAGAAGAAAAGAAATAGAATGACTTCAAACTTGATTATCATGTATTCCAAAACTATATTTATATGTCAATGATTCTAGTGTGTTCAAGATGTCATCTCTTGAGAAAAGATTCAAATGAAATTCTTTAAATGAAGTTCGTGAAATTTTTTATTAAAAATGATTAAATAAAAATTAAAATCGAAAATCAAAATCGATAGATTTAAAAATCTTATTACATAAATTAATTATGCAAATTTTGACAAATTTAATAAATTTTGATATATATTTTGAATTAAACATTTTTAGTAAAAATACTGATAAAATTTTTACCGTTGAATAAGTATCGATTAAATTTGAATTATAAATGATATTTTTAATAAATTTTTTTGCATATTATTATTCTCTACATTGAATTCTATCAATTTATCAATTTAAATGTTTTATTAAAATTTTTATTAAATCATTTTTAAAAAGAAACTTCACAAACTTCATCTAAAATATTTCACATAAGTTTTGTCCCGTTTCTTGATTCATGAATGTTAACATCATTTATTGGACATCAATAATTTAAATTTTACTTTCTAAAAATGGAATATTGATATTTTAATGGGTCTCCTTTATAAATTCACTTGAAAATCAAAAGTTTGTACCTTCTATTATCTTCATGGTCAATACATGCAGCATGCAGTAATTTAATATTCTGGAACAACATTCAAGCAATCTCGATTCCCTACTAATGGTTAATATCTGTTAGATTTCGTTTTTGAAGACTATATATAAGTTAGATTGCTTTTGCATCAATCATGATTGACTCAATCTTTTTTTTTTTCTAAATTTCACTTGAAACAAAACTTTTAGATCTTGTTCCTTTAATGGCATGTCGTTTTTTTTTTTCTATGTTTAATTTAAATTTTTTTTTGTTTTTTTTTTTTAATTTTGGTTTGAGTTATTTTTTCATTTGTTTATTTGCAGGTTCTTTGATTTGGGTTTAAAGTTGATTATTAATTTTATAGTGTATTCTTATTTCTTTTGAATTAGATGTTCGCTGGTGTTCTTTTGTATTACAGTTCTTTTAAATTGCTTTAACATCATCTCTTGCTCTAACTTTACTTTAAACTATCATGCCATTTTGGACATTTAACCACTATGCTCCTTCAATGTTTTAAAACTTTAACTATATATTACACTGTTTCTTTTATTTTCTCATAATTTTTGTGCAAACGTAATTTTTTTCTTTTTTTTTTTTTGTATTTTCTATTGCCAATAATAGATTTCATCTTATATGCTTTTATTGTTTTAAAAAAATTAACATTATATCGTGAGCATTTGCTAGCATGATATTAAAGAGGAAGTACTTAGATAAGTTTTTAAGATGAAATTGGTGAAATTCTTAATTAAAAATGATTAAATAAAAATTAAAATTGATAAATTAAAAGATTTCGTTATATAAATTAAGTGTACAATATATAAAGCTTATATCAAATGAGAAACAAGCATGAGGAATACTATTAATTCCATGCACATGCTTCGTTTAAAGCATGAGAAGCTAGCTGTGACCCCTCCCAACCCTCCTCCGCCGACATGGACTTGCTGCTCCGCTCTCGCCCACGCTGGAATGCGCTGCCTTTGCTCCTACAAGAACTCCAAGTTGTTGCCTTCCTAAACCCTCTAGCAGCTGCAACCTTCCTCATCCTGCAAATTGCTAAGTCCGTGTTAATATCTTGGTGTCAAGACTCAAGATCATCATTTTGCGATCGGATGAACAGTTTCTTGAAACGCTGGATGACACATACTTGATAGGAACTTCATACTTCTTTGCCTCTTTGCCTGCATACACTGCTACGTAACCTCTTCTGAGCTTGAACGGCTTTGGTATTCTCAGCCCCTCCCAGCCCATTGTAGGAATTCTTGGGCTTGCTATGCCCAAGCTTTTTGACTTGGTAACCGATTTTGGATGCTGAATACATTGCAGAGTACTCTCAATCAAAGTTTTCTTGTTTTTCAAGCTTTAGTGCAAGTTTTATGGAACGCAGAACAATATCGTAAGAGAGAGAAAGGGGAGGACGAAGGAGAGTAAAGGGCTGGTTAATTTGTAGAGTAAAATAATCACTATGATTGTATTTGAATAATTTTTTTTTAGCTATTAATGTTTAATTTCTAAAGACGTATTAACGCAATAATATCATGTCAACTATTAAATGTTATATGGAATTATTATATTATTTAATAAATCATGTGATATTATAAATTTTTTAAAAAAAATTTATTGACGTGATAATATTATATAATATTAAACAGCTGAAATTTATTATTACAATATTTTATTAGAAGTTTACTTAACATTTATTCAAATTTTAACGATTAAATTAAAATTTTAATAAAATAATAATACTTAAAAAATATGAACTTAACTAAAAGATCAATTATGTAATTCAACCTAATTTATATTGGGAGGATTATGACCATTGCCAATGCTTTCCGACTTCAACAATGAAACTTTTAGGGACAGCCGTCAGTTTTTGATTGGTTGAAAAAAATAAAAACAAAAATAATAATAAACTGAAATGAACTAACTATATATATGCATGTGTATAAGGGGTTTAAGTAGGAATTATCAATAATAGAGAGCGATGGAGAGAATCAGATGCAACAATGTTAACCCTTACTTTCAAGCCCACCAATGAAGAGGTTTTCGGCTACTACCTTCGGCCAGCCATCGATGGAGAGCCCTTGTGTTCTAAAGCTGTAACTGAGCTTGAGATTTATGGTGAAGACAAGGAACCTTGGAAAATCTTCGACAAAGATGAAAAGAAATCTCTTTGGGTTTTCACCAACTTGAAGGAGAAGAATAAATCAAGAATCGACAGGACTGCTGGTTGTGGATATTGGAAAGCTCGATTGAACAAGAAGGAGGTGAAGGATGCACGCGGTCAGCAGTTAGGGTTGGACAAATATTTCTTTTTCACTTTCAAGAAAGACCAGTCAAATGAAGGTAATGGTCATTGGATTATGCATGAGTATTCGTTAAACGACGAGGGTTTGAACGATTATGTTATTTGCAAGATCAAGAACAAAAATGCCTTAGGTTCAGATCATCAAGACCAAGTAGAACCCAGTAACAAGAAGCGTCAAACTGTCGAGGTTAGTGATGAAGAGATGTGAAGGCAGCTTGTGTTGATAAGAGTAAATTAATCCAAGCCAATGTTGATGGACGGAAAGGAAGCAAAGTTCTAACAATCTATCAACAGAAATCCGGGAATCTTGATGATCAAGAAAATCAAGATAATCAAGAAAATTCTGCTGATGATTCTGTTCAGCATCAACTTGAAAAGTCTATCAGTGAACCTGAGGCATCAAAGGGGAATGAGCTGAAGGAGGACTCTCCCTTGAGTGGGTTTGATTTAAATTCGGATCCACCGGAAGAACCATGATCTGGTACACTTGGAGGAGTTGTTTGGCTGGACTGTATAGTTGAAGAACTAATTTCATGGTCGTCTTAAGGTTCCTACACCATATATGGTTATTGCCATTTTTTGCATTTCATGGTTTCGGTGACTGTCAGTTTTTTTAAGTTTCATGGTTTCAGTGACTATATCAGTTGTGGCCCTCGCTGATTGCACTCATGACATCAAATTTCAAGGAATTGCCTGACAAATTAAGCTGATATTTGCAACTAACTACTCTAAGAAATGAAAGCGGCATTGGTCCGTTCCCATACCATGTTCATTCAACTCAGTCGAAGTCAATAATTTCTCAAAAAGGGTTGGTTTTAGCTCATAAACCGAAGGGTAGGCCTATTTCCACGCACATTTTCTCTTCTTCCAAAGCCAAACCATGCTTGAAAATTGACTCCTGTTCATGTTTCCCATGCTACTTCTTTAGCTTTCTTTTTATGTATTAAATAAAGATAAACGAGGTCAAATCCTTGGCCAGCTGCTACCAAACTCGGTTCAGAAGTTTGGGTGTTGTTCTTTGTCCTTGTTAGGACATGGATGGGGGGAGGAATGCGACAATCAAGATAACTTATCAAAAGAATCCCACTCTAGTATGCCAGCTGGCCTATGTAAATAATGCTGTGAAACACTTATAAGACAAGTAAAATCTCGATCGTGTCCTATGACATTCATATAGGAATTTTGAATGCATCACACGAGATTGAAACTCACGACAAGCTCATACCTAAGGCCTCAACAGCGCGGCTGCTCTTCAACCTAGTGATAAAAGCAATGGAACGGATGAAAATTGGACAATTCCAGAAACGATAAACTAAACCGATTATATTATATATATATCTTAGGTCTATCTCCAACTAAAATTAAATATAAAAACCTATAAATGTTATATAGAAAGGGATAGAAAGGACAAATGAAAAGATGAAATATGTCCCATCTAGCAATGGATTGCAACCAAGATTTAGAACAATGGCAAAGGCCCATCAATACCCGGCCCTATGGACCTCTAACTCCTCAATCCTTTGATGCGGTTGAGCTGACTTCTGATGAGCAATCTTTCTGGTTGGGGGAAGGCATGGATCCTCTAACTCTCATCTCCCCTGTTTGCTGTTGCTGTTGCTGTTGCTCCTGTTGCTGCTGAAGCTGATGCAGTTGATGAGGTGGGAACTGATACTGTTGCTTCTGCAAGTGAATCTGAAGTTGCTGAAACTGCTGTGCTGTTAGAAGAGCATGCATAGCATAATTGTTTGGGTAATACTGCTGACTAGCTCCAAAAGGCGCAAAGTTCACCATTGGTCCACCATTTGGCACAGATTGGCCAGTCAGTACCTTCAGATGCTGGATTTCCTCTTTCAGTGCACCATTTAATGCTATCAAATAACAAAAACAGAGAAAATATCATTAATATGGGCAACAAAAAAAGCAGCTTAAACATGAGTGAGGAGCTTATGGTAGAACAAGAAGCATTAACATTCCTAATGATATGCAAGCCTTTTTTTTTTTTTTTTTCGAAAAGGCAATATGCATACAGGTTTTTCTAGTCTAGCCAAGATAGAATAGTGTTGCACTCTGGCCACAGACCCTCTATATATATAAACGTTGACATCCATACTAATGACAACATAATCTCAAATCATGGCCATTTCTGTCAATCATGATAAATGATGGAAAATGCAGCATAAGTACTTAAAAGAAGGTGTAGTTGGAAAAAATGCCAAAAAACAATTATTTACTAATGATTGTTATCAGTAATCAACCTTTTCATGTTTAAGAATAGAAAGTAAGAGATACCATAAATGTCTCGATTCAATCATATTATTTCCTACTCTTTGTATGAACCTATTACACTTCAATCATACATTGTATCATCAAAGGACATTTTCTAACATATGACAAAATGCTGTATTTGCTAAAGGTAAAACTGTTGCTTCCATAGCATTTTCAAGCCTGAGAAGCATCGTATTGAACTCTTGTGATGATATATTAGGTGCAAGAAGAAATACCCAGCAATAGTAAAACATGAAGACCTCTCTCCTCCTCTCCCTTCCTCCAAACACACAGCCCCCTACCATTAAATATCTAGAATGGTAAGTATATGTAAATGACACACATCCAACTCATTGCGGCTTCAATAAATTTTATTATCCCTCCGAGTGTCCATCCAACCAGATTCTCACATGAAAAATCTTTCAAACCATCATAAATATCATATAGCCCATAATATGTCTTTCCATTAAGATGAGGAGGATAACAGAAAAAAAATAATAAGGACAGAAAAGGTAATAAAACAAAGCTATTGTTATTTAAAGAGAAGTCTTCAAGAGGTGCTCACCGTCTTGCAAGTGAATCTGTTGCTCCGTTGTTTGCAAGCGCAGTTTCAATTCACTATTTTCAACGGTCAGACCATTGGTGTCTCTCTGCTCGTAGGTTACAATGAAAAGAGCCAAATTAATCATTAGATCTATGTAAAGAAAAAGAACACACAAAAAAAAAAGGGAAAAGGTATATATATCGACCGACAGAACCATCGAAACCGAACACGATTTAGCAAACACATAAGGAGAAGGTGCTGAGCTGATACAATTACCTGTAACAGAGACAGCTGGGCAGAGAGTGATGTTGCTTCTGCTTGCAATGTCTGTACTTTTCGTTCAAGCTCAGCTATATATCGTACTTTTCTTTCCTTTGACCTTGCAGCAGACTGCCTATTCGCCCAGATCCTATTACATGGCGAGGACAAGAAAAGGTGGTGTCAAAAAGAAAAAAACATATCAGGTAACAACATTCATTCCTCTGCACATGAGATGAAGTCCAATAGATGGTCGGAAGTTGTTTGGAACATTTCTTAAGGAGAGGTGAAGAAAAGGGCCGAGTGGAGAATTATCAAGGACACTAGCATGGTAAGATAAGAAATCAATTATAACATATATAAGAATTTGAAATAATAATAATAATAATAAGATACCTCTTTGCACGCTTGGGATCAATAAGAGCAAGTTCGGCAAGCTTAGCAGCGGACATAGCTTTCTTAGAATCAGCAGGTGAAAGCTCTTCCGGACAAGACATAAACATTGCCGGGTTAATACTCGTCAATCCATTCATCGACTGGCTTTGTTGGTGCTTAACTCTAGGCTTATCAGAAGACCCAACACCAATACTCATATTTTCACCAGCTAACATCCCAGTTCCTGCTCCTGCTCCTGCTCCCACACCCACAGCAGCCACCGGAGCAGAAGCCAGACCAGCCGGCGTTGATGACTCACCAACCTGAAACGTTGAGTTGGCAGAAGAAGAATTGAACTTATCCATATAAAGATACATAGTCAATAAATCGTCCTCTGTTTCGTCAGAATCCATAGGCCCATCAGCTTCCCCCACGACACCGAGATCACTATTGAAGTTAATATCTTCAGAAAGAGTAACGATTTCGGATTGGGCACGGCGGTGGCTTAAGTTCTTCGGTGGGTTATCAGGCATTTTGCTAATATCATGACTAAAACCATTCGGTTCCGTAGTTTGACCGAAACTGCATGTTTCGGGTCTCACACTGAAAGTATTTGGAGCATTTCCGGCGGACGAAAACCCCGAAAATCGACCTGACAATGGCGGTAAGCCTGGAGATTTATCCTTTTCCATTTCAGGAAATATAAAAGACTTTCAGGGAAAAAAATGTTTTCAGGGATAAGAAAATCTAACACTAGATCTTCAAGTTATATAAGTGAGAAAAATGGCAGGAAATCACTGAGAAAAGGGAAAAGAAAAGGAATGAAATGGAGAGGAATCGACGACGGGCATTTTATGTAAAGGAATCACATGGTGGAAAATGAAAGGAAACTAAATTTTCTAGAGAATAAAAGACCTGAGTCATGATATTACACTGGTTTTTCTGCCTTTTTTATACTTGTTTTCCGTCTGAAATTTTGCTTCGACTTGTTGTACATATCGGACAGAAAGTGTCCTGAAAAAGACCTAATTACTTGGGTGTCCTGAGGTACAATGTTCTTTTTGCTGTAAAATTCTAAACATGCGTTAAGTTGTTGAGCATAGATATGGAAGTAGATATGCTCCGGACTGGTTACCATATATGACTGCAACCAAATAAATGGAAATAATTTGGTGTGGTTTGAGTGTAGGTATGAGTATGATTTTTGATAAATGGGACCCATTTTAATGATAATTTTTAAAATTTTTTAAAAATTTATTTGTCCATCATTTCGTATTTAATTAATTTTTTAAAGTTTAATTTGGTTAATTTTAACTATCATAATATTTGATAAATTTAAAATTCAGATTCATTAAATTAGTTTTAATAGTTTTAATTATCATAATGTCCAATAAATTTAAAATTCAGGTTTAATTAAATTAGATTTAATAGTTTTAACTATTTATGATTTGAGTGAATGTATGAGTTTTATTTTTTGGGAATTGGGGTCCATTTTAATGATAATTTTTAAAACTTTTGTCCAAATTTCTTTGTTTATCATTTTAGATTTAATTTAGTTATTTTAGGTTTAGTTTAGTCGGTTTTAACTATTATAACGTCCGACAAATTTAAAAAACATATTTAATAAAGTTAGTTTTATTAATTTCAACTATCATATCATCCGACAAATTTAAAAATCATATTTAATAAAGTTAGTTTTAATAAGTTTAACTATAATAACGTCCGACAAATTTAAAATTTATAACTAAAATAAAAAATAAATATAATCTAGTGTGATTTGAGTGTAGGTTTGCTTTTGATCTTTTAGGAATTAGGATCCATTTTGATGATAATTTTTAAAATTTGTCTAAACTTATTTATTTGATTTAATTTAGTTATTTTAGATTTAGTTCGGTTAGTTTTAAGTTTTATATATTCTACAAATTTAAAATTTATATTTAATTAAGATAATTTTAATAGTTTTAACTATCATAATGTTCGACAAATTTAAAATTTATGACTGAAATCAAATAAATGAAACTAATTTGGTGTGATTTGAATTTATAGGAGTTTGATCTTTTGGGAATTGGAACCCAATTTTGATAATAATTTTTAATATCCCAAATTATTTGTCCATAATTTTGGGTATAATTTAGTTATTTTAGGTTTAGTTCAATTAGTTTTAATTACCATAACGTCCAACAAATTTAAAATTCAATAAATTAAGCTAGTTTTAATAGTTTTAACTATCATAACGGTCGATAAATTTAAAATTCAGATTTAATTAAGTTAGTTTTAATAATTTTAATTATTATATTGTTTGACAAATTTAAAATTTAAGACTGAAATCAAAGAAATGAAAATAATTTAGTGTGATTTAAATATGATTTTGATCTTTTGAGAATTAGAACCCAATTTTGATGATAATTTTTAAAATTTTTGTCCAAACTTATTTGTCCATCATTTTGAGTTTAATTTAGTTATTTTAGGTTTAGTTCAATTAGTTTTAATTATCATAACGTCCGACAAATTTAAAGTTCAATTAATTAAGCTAGTTTTAATAGTTTTAACTATCATAACGTCTGACAAATTTAAAATTCAAATTAATTAAGTTAATCTTAATAATTTTAATTACTATAATGTTTAGCAAATTTAAAATTTATGACTAAAACCAAAGAAATGAAAATAATCTAGTGTGATCTGAATGTAGGCATGAATTTGATCTTTTGGGAATTGGGACTCATTTTGATGATAATTTTTAAAATTTTTGTCCAAACTTTTTGTTCAATTTAATTCAATTATTTTAATTTTAGTTTGGTTAATTTTAACTTTTATAACGTTCAACAAATTTAAAGTTAAAATTTAATTAAGTTAGTTTTAATAGTTTTAACTATCATAACGTCCGTAAATTTAAAATTTGTATTTAATTAAGTTAATTTTAATAATTTTAACATTTATGACATTCGATAAATTTAAAATTTACTATTGAAATAAAAAAATTAAAAATAATCTGATATGATTTGAGTGTAGGTATGAGTTTGATATTTTGGGAATTGGAACTCAATTTTAATGATAATTTTTAAAATTTTTGTCCAAACTTATTTGTCTATCATTTTGGGTTTAATTTAGTTATTTTAGGTTTAGTTCAATAACGTTTGACAAATTTAAAATTTAATTTAATTTAATCAATTTAAATAATTTTAATTATTATAATGTTTGACAAATTTAAAATTTAAATTTAATTAAAATCGTTTTAATAGTTTTAACTATTAAAATGCTTGATAAATTTAAAATTTATGATCGAAATCAAATAAATAAAAATAATTTAGTGTGATTCGAGTGTAGGTATGAATTTGATCTTTTTGAAAATTGAAACCCATTTTGATGATAATTTTTAAAATTTTTATCCAAACTTATTTATCCGGTTTAATTCAATTATTTTAGATTTAATTTAGTTAATTTTAACTTTTATAATGTTCAACAAATTTAAAATTTATGTTTAATTAAGTTAGTTTGAATAGTTTTAATTATCATAACATCTGATAATTTTTAAATTCAAAATTAATTAAATTAATTTTAATAGTTTTAACTATCATAATGTACGACAAATCATATTTAATTATGTTAATTTTAATAATTTTAATTATCATAATGTTCAATAAATTTAAATTTTGAATTTAATAAAATTATTTTTAATTATATTTTTAAAAAATAACTATCAATGAATTTAAAATTAACAAATATAAATTTAATTAAGTTAATTTTAACCATCTTTAAATAACATCCAATAAATATAAAATTATTTAATTTTAACTATCATTGAAATTACAAATTACATCAAACAAGTATAAGATAAACGGATTTAAAATTCAAATTTAATTTAATTTTAACTATCATTGAAATAACGTCTATCAAGTTTAAGATTTACTATCATCTAAAGGAAATCAAAATTTTTAGAGAATGAATGATCTAAGACATGACATCATACTGGTTTTTCTGCCATTTTCATGCTTCTTTGCCGTCTGAAATTTTGCTTCGACATATTGTACATTTCGGACAGAACGTGTCCTGAAAAAAGTAACTGATTACTTGACTGTTCTGAGGTACAATGTTCTTTGTGCTGGCAAATTGTAAGCAGCCGTTACATTGTTGAGCATAGATATGGAAGCAGTTATGCTTCTGTCTGGTTACCATGTATGACTGAAACCAAATAAATGGAAATACTTTGGAGTAATTTGAGAGTAGATATGTGTATAAATTTCTGGGAATTGGGACCCACTGTGATAATTTTTAAAATTTTTTGGAAACTTATTTATCCATCATTTCAGATTTAATTAAGATATTCTAAATTTAGTTCAATTAGTTTTAATTATTATAATGTTTAATAAATTTAAATTTTAAATTTAATGAAATTAATTTTAATAGTTTTAGCCATTATAATATCTTATAAATTTAAAATTAATTAAGTTAATTTTAATAATTTTAACTATCATAACATTTGATAATTTAAAATTTATTATTGAAATCAAAGAAATGAAAATAATCTAATATGATTAATTGAGATCCATTTTGATAATAATTTTTAAAATTTTTTTCCAAACTTATTTATCCATCATGTCGGGTTTAATTCAATTATTTTAGGTTTACTTCGAATAATTTTAACTATCATAACATCTGACAAATTTAAAATTTAAATTTAATTAAGTTAGTTTTAATAGTTTTAACAATTATAACATGCAATAAATTTAATTAAATTAGTTTTAATAATTTTAACTAGTTTAACTATTACAACGTGTCGATAAATTTAAAATTTAGATTTAATTAATTTAATTTTAATAATTTAATTATCATAACATCCAATAAATTTAAAATTTAAATTTGATTAAATTACTTTTAATAGTTTTAATTATCATAACATTTAAGAAATTTATTTAAATTAACTTTAATAGCTTTGACTAGTTTAACTATTATAACGGTTGATAAATTTAAAATTCATGTTTAATTAAGTTAATTTTAATAGTTTAACTATCATAATGTTCAACAAATTTAGTTAAATTAGTTTTAATAATTTTAATTAGTTTAACTATTATAATAATATCCAATTAATTTGAAATTCAGATTTAATTAATTTAATTTTAATAATTTAATTATCATAACGTCCGATAAATTTAAAATTCAGATTTAATTAAGTTAATTTTAATAGTTTTAACTATCATAACGTCCGACAAATTTAATTAAATTAGTTTTAATAGTTTTTACTAGTTTAACTATCATAACATCCAACAAATTTAAAATTCAGATTTAATTAAGTTAGTTTTAATAGTTTTAACTATCATAACGTCCAATAAATTTAATTAAATTAGTTTTAATAATTTTTAACTAGTGCAACTATTATAACCATTGACAAATTTAAAATTTATATTTAATTAATTTAATTTTAATAATTTAATTATTATAGTGTTTAATAAATTTAAAATTCAGATTAATTTTATTAGTTTTAGCTATAATAACTGTTAGTCTTGAATTGATTATTATTTTGAAATGACAAAACATTAAAACTAAATAAACTTGATCAAGATTTTAAAAATGATTTATTTGATACATGTTCTTAAGTTTTATATTTTGGTACTAAATAAATAATATGATTTTTAAAGTTTAAACAAACATTTCTTGGTGTCATATTTCTCAAACCAAATCTACCTTTAAAGATTATTTATTTGAGCCTAAATGAAAGTTTAATTTGTTGTTTTTAAAGTGAACTTATTCATTTTGGACTTAATACAATTTTGATAATATTGGTTTTGGGAAATAAATTAAGTTAGGAAAGTTGTTTTTACAAGAACAAAGTTTTTCAACATTGAATTTATTTTATTTTTTTGTATAAATTCACAAGGTTTTAATACTTGAATTTTATATGGTTGGAAAGCTCTTTGAGTCTACTTTCTAATAGATCAAACAAAATGAAAATCCAAATTTTTTAAAGAAAAGATTTTGAATTT